TCCCTCTTGGATTTCTTCGAGTGGGACACTGTAGACCACTGGGGAAGCGATGGTACTTCAGGGAATACCGGAGCCGGGGGATCCGGCCAGGCGTCCAGAACCACAGAGGATGTAATTCCCGCGGCAGCCAGAAAGTCCGCCAAATCAGTCGGGGAGCGTAGGATCACCAGGCGGCCATTTTGTCTCACCGACAGATGGAATGGATAACCCCACCTGTAGGGGATATGGAGCTCCCGGAGCAGAGTGGCAAGAGGCCGTAGAGCCCTGCGGCGAGCCATGGTGCGGGGTGACAGATCCGGAAAAAAGGTTATGGTAGCTCCGTCAAAGTCAAGCGATCCACGCTCTCGGGCTTTGGCCATGATTTCCTCCTTCTGCTTGTAGAAGTGAACCCGGCACAGCACGTCCCTGGGCTGTTGTGCGGAGGGGTTCCGAAACCCGGGCACCCGGTGCACTCTATCGAGGTATTAAGAGATCAAACAGTAAGTAGCGTAACATAAACAGCGTTCAGTAGTACAGAGATACATCACCCGGCGGTCAATCCCCAGCGTCTCATGGGGGTTTGAGGTAAAGGCAGAGTCTCATAGCTGAAGAGGGCCCCAAGTGAACGCGCAGTGTTCTTCTGCAACAGGTGGACAAGTGACAGGGGGTATGCAGCAAATGCAGGTGCAAGGCCACCCACGGGGTCACCTCCGAGGTGGGCCGCCATTCAAAAATAACCCTCCAGGAGTGGTATATATAAAAAGGCAGTGCTATGGTAGGAAGAGTGTTGAAGCATGGGCCTAGTCCATTTCCAGTAATCCACCTCCAGCCGTTAGAGCGGTATATATGGGGGGAGTGATGCCCCCCGGATAACCAGGTGTAGATAAAAAGGTACGGGTTGTAGAACTTCCCAAGGTAGGCACATCAGGGCGAAGGGATCCTCAGATAAGGCAAACTCTTAAGCGTCGGGCTGTATCCCTTAAGGCAGGGAGCTGCGTGCAGTAGGATCCCTCTTGGATTTCTTCGAGTGGGACACTGTAGACCACTGGGGAAGCGATGGTACTTCAGGGAATACCGGAGCCGGGGGATCCGGCCAGGCGTCCAGAACCACAGAGGATGTAATTCCCGCGGCAGCCAGAAAGTCCGCCAAATCAGTCGGGGAGCGTAGGATCACCAGGCGGCCATTTTGTCTCACCGACAGATGGAATGGATAACCCCACCTGTAGGGGATATGGAGCTCCCGGAGCAGAGCGGTCAGAGGCCGTAGAGCCCTGCGGCGAGCCATGGTGCGGGGTGACAGATCCGGAAAAAAGGTTATGGTAGCTCCGTCAAAAAGTCAGAGGCCTTAGAGCCCTGCGGCGAGCCATGGCGCTGGGTGACAGATCCGGAAAAAAGGTTATGGTAGCTCCGTCAAAGTCAAGCGATCCACGCTCTCGGGCTTTGGCCATGATTTCCTCCTTCTGCTTGTAGAAGTGAACCCGGCACAGCACGTCCCTGGGCTGTTGTGCGGAGGGGTTCCGAAACCCCCGGTGTACTCTATCGAGGTCGATAGGCTCCTCTGCCCTCCTGCCAAGCAACGAGTTAAAAATACCTCGGATGGTGGGCTCCAGGTCCATCGTGCCCGTTGCCTCTGGCAGGCCGCGGATGCGCACATTGTTCCTCCTGTTCCTGTCTTCTGCGTCGTCCATGTGCGTCCAGATAGCTTGCAGCATCTTATGCTGTGTCACAGCAGTAGCTTGTAGAGCCGTGATGGCTGTGCGGTGTGCGTCCACGTGGAGATCCACTGTGTCCAGTCGGCCATGGACCCCTATCGTCCAGGTGCGTCCAGATAGCTTGCAGCATCTTATGCTGTGTCACAGCAGTAGCTTGTAGAGCCGTGATGGCTGTGCGGTGTGCGTCCACGTGGAGATCCACTGTGTCCAGTCGGCCATGGACCCCTTTAATCGCTTCATGGAGGCCCGCTACATCTGCTCTATGCACGTGCTCAAAGCGGGCAAAGAGCGCCTCCAGGTCCAGCAGGTGCTGCATGTCACCAGGGGAGCCACCTGGGGCCGAGTCTTCATCAGATGTGGCCTCTCGATCGGCCAGGATGGGCGAGAGATCGGCCGGCTGTGAGGTATGTGAGTCTGGGGAGGCCGGGGAGTCCCCATGCGTCTCGGCCATGCGGCCTGCAGAGCCGGCCGCTCGCGTGATTACCGGAGCCGCAAAGAAGCTGTTAATCGCGGCTCTCGGGTTCCGCGAGCGGTCCAGTTTGGAGCCCTGGGACTTCTTACCCTGGGACTGGATCCCATTGTGGGTAGCAGGACGGCCGGTAGTGGCACTTTTTCAGACGATGCCCGGTTCACAGCAGCGGAGCTAAGGACAGACACGTCCAGCCGCGGCCATTGGCAAGCTCCGCCCCCATATTTATTTTATTTTAATTTTAAAAACAGTTTTTTTTAACTTTAACTGCTATCACATGCTTGTAAGCCCCCCCCCCCCATGTGATAGCA